TTTTAGAGCTGGAATGAATCACGGAGCTTCAATCTCTTCATATCACAGTGACCAGGTAAGATATGGTTCAATGAATTTACCTGAAGGTGTTGGGGGCAGAGGTAGCACTTCATATCCTGGGTGTAGTTCACATAGTTGTTGGTTTTGCTGGGGATGGGACCCGGGCAAGTTCCCTCAGAGCAGTAATGTCCAACTGGGCAGACAGTCGCTCGGGCACCACTCCATATTGAGCCTATTGGACAATAGTATCCAGGATCACACCTTGGTTTTAAAAAACCCCCAGTCTCAAAGTTTCCAGGACATGGGAAACATTTTGTATCATTCTTCAGTCCAGTTACATTGCTGTATGTCCCAATTGGGCACTGGATTTGGTTTACTGTGCTTTCAGTGCAGTATTGACCCTCTGGGCAGATGATGAAGTCAGGGGTTGTAATGCTACTGGGGCAGTTATACCCTGCTTCACATTCCCCACTTGGCAGTTGGTTGCCACAGTAATAGCCTAGAAACAAAGGCATATTTCTGATATGTTGAAAACTGAAGGACAAGTCATTAACATGCAAATGTCAAATACTGCCATTTGTTACATTTGTTAAAGATTCCAAACATTAACTGCTGATTGCCACCACCAAAAAGTTAGAGACTATAACAATTTGTCACCAGTTCTGTTGGTGACATGAAAATGTATTTTGAAGACTACCAACTCGATTTTCGTTCAAAATACACTTTTCATTCAAAATACACCTAGATATTTTCCTTAATTATTACATGCAGTAAAAAATGTGAAGTAAAACACCTCTGATATACAAATAGATCACTTTTCTTGTGACTAATTTGGCTTAGAGCACAAGTGGAACACTTTATTTAGAGGTACTTGAGGTGTTCCACTATGTTTTACTAGTATAACCTACCCTGCATTGAAGATCTTTGAATACACGTATGCGGTCTGGGCAGTCTGATCACAGTAATAGCCACGGGGACACCCTGTACAATTTGCCTCATTCTGGAGCCCTGTTTCATTGCCAAATGTTTCACTGGGACGGGGATACTCATTGGATAAGCAGGTGCCAGCAGGACAGTAATAACCTGAAATAAACAGTAATTATGTGATAAACAGTCCTCCAAATTGACCATTTGAGTCAAAATAAATTTTATGCTTAACAAGACAAAAAGCAATGCTGTGGCTTAGCAAATCCCATCGAACACCTTTTTAAGTGCCACACAAAGTTATGAGCCATCAGTTCTCAAAATGAAGGCATGAATCATCTGTCCATGGGCCACACTGATGAGATGTACTTGATGGTGGCTGATTAGGCTCTCTGCATCTTCATTGGCAAATGACATTGCTGGGACTAAATTGTCAAAAATCTATCTAAATCAATAAAAAGATGGCTAGGATTGAAAGAGATCTGAAATATAAATGAGGGTTTATGTACCATTACTTCAAGTTGTAAAAAACAGACATCTGTTTTCTTCTTCAGTGATGATGGAAGCAAAATTGACCTGCCATTTATGATTCAATATTCTTGTAATTTCCTTTATTCATAAAGATATTTGGAAATGTACATGTCAAAAATTATTTTAATGGCAGTTGTGATTTATCTTAGTTTAATTATCAGTATTTAAAAAATTGAAATGAGAGTTAATTTAAAAGGAGAAACAGATCTACAGAAAAAATGTTTCAATTATACAACATTTTGGTCTTAAATCATTCCTTATTACATTTATTCCTTAATAATCCCCAATTTATATGTGATAATTTTTCTATAATGATGTCAACATTGATTTTATGAGAATTTTTACATGTTTGCACTTTGAATCTTAATCACTTCTTCATTTGATAGAATTTTTTATTAAGATACATTTATTTTATTTCAAAATTTTACAATATATATCCTTTCAAACACCTGAGGGCATAATAGAAGGAAATATTAGATAAGACAAATACATATTATTATAAATAAGGCGAAGGAGTAAATACTGATAGAATATCATAAATCATTTGGAACATAATATGTTTGAAGTGATAAGGAACTGATTTGGAGCTCCAATGTACATATTGCTTGCAATTTTGTCAACCCATATACCGTCTTTAGATCTGTTCCTGCCTTTAATGGTAAGCATTATAATATGGATTGAACTGAGAGGATTGGGTTGGACTGGTTTAATGTAAAAGTTGGATTGGGTCAGGGAAGGTTGTACTTGGTAGAGAGGTATAAAGCGTTAGACACAACAAGCTAGGTGAAGTGAGTGTTTTAAACTCAGGAGATTCCAAATTTTGTAGAAATCTAACCCAATCCAGCTTTTACATAAAACCAATCCAACCCAATACACTCAATCAAATCCATATTTTAATGCCCATCCCTTTAAATAAAGTACTCACCTTAGGAGAGATTTTGCTCTTTCTTATTCACTCTAATTCATTCTACTTCATATACGTATGTCTATACTGCTGATGTACCTTAACTTTTACATTCTATTATTAGTAATGAATACATTTAACTGTTAAGCAATCTTACTTAATGTGGCAACCATATCTAAGATCAACGTCTACTTTAGCTATACATAGCTATATATCTTAAAATAAAATAAAAGCATATTATATCATTCATATCTTGTGTTCATGATTTCTGCTTGTCATAATCGGTTCTTTATTCTGGTTTAGTCTGTTGTAGATCTGTTTTTTAAATTATTGATTTTTCCTCTAATGTTCCTTTTTCTGTGTTAAATACTTTTTTTCATTTTTTCTATGGTCATTTATTGTTTTCCTCCCTGCTGTGTATTATCATATTACCTGGTCTGTCCTGATCAAATGATAATACTATTCTGGTGTTCTGCTTTCAAAGATGTTCGTTTTCTTTTAAATGATAATCTTCTGTTTACTGTTACATTGTGTTAAACTTATCTTGATTTTTTGGGGTTTTGGTTGTTGACATCCTCTTACTCCTTTTTCTAACCTCATTTTTGCATTCCATTATTAGTAACAAATAAAATACATATATGACTAATTGTGGCAACTATATCTAAAAAGATCAACAAATATATCTTACCACAAAATAAATTTATTTAATCAAATTAAGGCCTCTTCCGTTCAATATATCTTGTTTTCTCAGGTATTGTTTTTTTTTCATTTTGCCATGGTCTCTTATAGAACTGTTTTCTAGTATAATATCTTTCTGTGGTATGTTTGAAATAGTATATTTTCTGCAGGAGACATTTACATATAAACTTTGTTCGAGTAAAGGTTACTGTAAGGATTTAATATTGTGTACCGTCAGTATTTATTATCTTCAATGTCAATGTTCACCTTGCACATGGTTATCTAATAATTACTTAACATTCCTAATAATCACTTTGACCATTTCATGGTAGCTCAGAGTACAGTAAGGACTACAGAGTACAGTAAGGACTACAGAGTACAGCAAGGACTACAAGGGTATCATAAAGACTAAACTTGGATTGGGTAAAAGTTACTGTAAGGACTTCACATTGTGTAGCATCAGTATTTTATTATCTTTTTGGAGTCAATGTCTATCTTCCAAATGGTTTATTTACCAATTACTTAACATTCCTAATAATTACTTTGATCATTTCATGATAGCTGTAATAAATAGGTAAAACGCATACATCTACATTGTGTAATGTTCGACTAGCATAAACATGATCGATACATGTTCCAAATTCAGTCGTTGGTACAGCTGGGTCTGACAGTAATCTGTATCTTTGGCGTATCAAGAAATCATGAATAGGGTGCTTCTCTGTATCAATCAAATTTTCATTTAAATCACCAACAATAAGAACTTTTTTATACTTTTTGTGAACATGATGTAAAATGTTCTCCATTTCTAAAATGAATTTGGTATTCACTATTTTCGGTGACTTATATAATGTTATCACTGCCATATCTTTAACAATGGTTAAAGCATTGTCCAACGGTGATATTATGCTGGATGTCTGCAAGTTTCCTAAACTATTCTTCTTATAAATGGCAATTCCACCTTTACGGCTTGTGTCAATTTCTGTTTTTCTATTCACTATATGTGGAGGATCAAATGTTTCAATCTCAAGAATATCATACACATTTTCATGTCTAAGCCATGTTTCTGTGAGACACATAATATCACATGAGGTCAAATCAGTGTTACACTTTACATCTTCTATATGACCTATCAAACCCTGTGTATTATGATAAATAATTGTCAAGTCATTTTCAGTTGCTATTTCAAAGTGAGGTAAATATTGAGATATATCTAACTCTGACATCTCTTCTAAAGCCTTTGCTGTTTTTTCGTCGCAATATATTTTCTTTGGGTCGTAATCAATTATATAAAGACCTTCAGCTGATGTTACCCTACTGAAAGCAACATATGCTTGACCACCTGTAAACAAGTTTGCACAAGATATGGCAAGTCTTTCGCATGTTTTCCCCTGCAATTTATGTATAGTGCAGCCATATGATAATATCAGTGGTAGTTGACGTCTCATAAATTTGCCATTGACTTCATCATTATATGGTTCAATACATATAGAATCAGGATGAGCTTTAGACTTATTTTTATATCTGCTCTTTATACCTACTTTTGGATTATCAAATTTAACCCATACGGCCTTCGGCATATTATCTGTATCATTTTCAAATTCTATAGCGGTAACAACACCAAATGCACCATTAGCCAGTCCATCAGCAGTACATATATTTTTTATCAGAAGAACATGTGCACCAACGCAAATTTGTATTTCATGAGAAAGGGTATCATCCCGATGATTTGGTGGTTTGTCAGTTTTTTTCCATTCTTGGCCTTTCAATTTGGTGTAATCAATTGCTTTTACATTATATAGTTTATTATTAGTTGACTTTGCATAAGACAATATTCTCTTCCGATTATACTCATTCACTTGGACATGCTTCGAATATATCCTCATGACATCTTCAGGAATTGTTTTTTTCATTATTTCTCTAATGAATTCATCGTCTTCAGTTGATAATTTTTCTCCTTTTTTAAGAATTCTAATTCTGTTTAAAAATTCGGCATATTTGAGATCATCTTTTTGTCTCATAATTTCAGTCAGCTCTATTTTCTTGAATTTTCCCCAAGGATTATAATCTGGCTCATCAGAGGTCAATAGACTTTTCTGCATAACTGGGGGTAATTGATAGAAATCTCCAAATGCTAATACTGAGGTGTTACCAAAGTCTGGATGGTTGCCAGGTTTAATTTGCTTAAGTCTTCCCCGTACTGTGTTAAAAAGTCTGACACTAACCATAGAAATCTCATCAACTATTAGATTCTCTAGAGATTTTAGTCTCATTTTTAAGGGAGCTATATCTTTTTCTTCAAGTGGCTTATATTTTGTAGACATAAATCTTGAAGTGATTCTAAATGCCGAATGCAACGTATTACCATTAATTTGGAATGCGCTTGTTCCTGTTGGACTTGTTAATAGTACACTCAAGTCATCTGGGTTCTTTAAGAGATTTCGCAATAAATGTGTGGAAATATAATGGATGCACTTAATTAAATGTGTTTTACCTGTCCCTGCTTTTCCACAGATATGAAGAAATAACGGTTCAACTTTTTTATGCCACGATAACTCTAAGCATCGTTTCCTAATTAAGTAAAACACTTGTTTTTGCTTTGCATTCATGGTTCTCATTAACTTCATGGCTTCCTCTGTAGGTATTGTATCTGTCTGTAATTCTACAAGACAATTTACATTTCCTTTAATTTTTGTTTTAAGGTCAATATCAGGCATATCGTTTTCATCAATTTCATCACAATTGGGTTTAACATATTCAGAAATACACTCCTGTCTTTCCAGTTCTTGCTCTGGTGCTAACTGAGCCCATGCATTCTCATATGTATCATCTTCATTTAATTGTTCTTGCGCAGCATCTAAATCATCACCAGTAACATCATAAATACATTTATATTTTGACACAATTTCAGACACTTTCAAAAATATTTCTCCATGTTTTATTTTTCCACACTTGAAATAGCCTTCAAATGTTTCATATTGAGCAGGTCGCAATTCTTGATCACTTCTGTGTGGTATGAAGAGCTGGAGCATACTATGATAGTATTCATCAGGATTGGTGTCCTTTGAGAATTTTGGATATCTTATAATAGCTGGTTGACTTTTTGATCTCTTCTGAATATATCCTAAGCCATTTCTCAGTTGTATCTTTTTTGATGTTTCTGTTTGATTTTCAAATACTTCATCATCATAATTATATGTTACAACTCTGTACATTGATGCAAACTCTGCCAAACATAATTCATCAAATTCTAAATTACATGGCCTTGCAAAATATCTTTCAATGATACTTGTTGCCCATATTTTATCTTGTTCATTCTCTTTGTGTCTGCGGATTTGTGAAATTGGTAATGACATCTTTATTGGGTTGTTACCCACTGGCAGAAATACTGTTTGTCTTGAACATTCTTTAAGATGAAGATTGGTGGCTCTGTACACAGCTTCTTGAGCACTAACTTCTCTATGTTGCATATATTTGTATCCGATCATTTTCATGAGTTCTGAGGCAGATGCATTTTTCTCTTTAGCTTCTTGTTCAGCATCTATAAGATTTTGACTCATATCACGTTCTTGTTTTGAAATGTATGATACAATATACACTACACACGAAAATACATCAAGAACATATTGTATATCCATGTTAGCTTCCCATGCTTTCAGAAGGTCTGGATTGTAGTTATTTATCCACATTTCCTGAACATTTCTCCTCAAGAATATGGTTTTCTTTCTTTTACTAGTCAAAACTCTAATAACATTTTCATATTTCTCCATTGTTAATCCTGGATATGCTTTCTCAAAAATTTCAGTTAATGTCATTTTAGCATAATCTTCTGACAGAAAGAACTCCCAAAGAGACTGAATAATATCTTCAGCTAATTTTATTGGTATAATCTCTGTTGGTTCATCAGAAATGTTGTCATCAACAATAAAGGTTCTGTCAGATGGAAGTTTGGGGAAGTGAAATCTACAACTTGCTTTTTTATTTTTCTTACAACTTTTTGAATGGTTTTTGCTGTGTGTTTGAACTTCATTGACCAATCTGTTCAAATCTGGATCAATTGTTTCATCTGGCAGTTCA